CCCCCCCCCCCCCCCCCCCCCAACAAAAAAACCCACCCAAGATTATTACGTTACTGCTAATAACGTATTGAAATCGTAAAGCTGAACGCGAGGGGTAGATATCGTATTTCATGTTAGGCATTTCAAATATGTTATATTCACTTTTGTATTAGGTAACTGGGTAACTTCTTGCCCGTCGAATCAGTTTCTCGCTCTTGCATATCAGTACCTTTTCATGTTATTCTGTTGGTCCAAGATAGGTCAATGGCTACTGGCATCCAAGTGTACATTATACCATCTGCAGGCATATTCACTTGCACATCCCTCACCACATGTTTTTTCCTGCAGGTTGTAGCCATGCAAAAAGATATGCAGAAGCAGGTGGCTATGATGGTTGCTGTCCCTGTTACCAAAGAAGGCAAAAGACTTGAAGCAGCCTTGGGACGGAGTATGGAGAAAGCTGTCAAGGCTAATGCTGATGCTTTGTGGGCTCATTTTCAGGAGGACAATGCAAAACTGGAAAAGGCATCACGGGAGCATACCCAGCATCTAACTAATATGATCAGCAATTGCTTGAACAAGGACTTGCCTGCAATTTTGGAGAAAGCTGTTAAGAAAGAATTAACTGCAGTCGGACAAGCTGTGGCACGCACAATTACTCCCTCTATTGAGAAAACAGCATCCACCTCAATTCTGGAGACCTTCCAGGTTAACATTTGCATTTTCCTGTCCTCTTAAGGTATAACCGATATCCGTATCTCATCTGATTGTTCGTGATCAGAAAGGAGTAGGTGATAAAGCCGTAAATCAGCTGGAGAAATCAGTCAATTCTAAACTTGAAGCTACTGTTGCTAGGCATATTCAAGCACAATTTCAAACTTCTGGCAAGCAAACTCTACAGGTAAGAATGACAGGAAGACAGTCAAATTGGCTCTTCACGTAATTGTAGAAAGACTTCAAATCACTGTCTGCCAGCATGGAACTTGTCCTCTTGTCTTGAAATTGCTTGCTGTATTTCCAGTTTAGCTATTTATTGACATTTTTTCCCAATCCTGTGTGACTTTGGGGCTGGATGCTTTGCATTTTTTAACTGTCTTTGACTTAGACGAATAAATTTTCTAGTTCTATAGCAATCCCTGGGCAAAAGAGGTTCATGTAACCTTCTCTTATTGATTTTGATTTCCTAAATT